TGCAAAATAAATGATGGCTCAAAGTTCACTAATGAACTTTGGTTTTAAAAAAAAGCCAGACTCCAAGAAGAGTTCCCACTGCCCTCATCTAGCAGCGATCTAAACGATCATTTTCTGATAACAAAAATAGCCCCGCCTCCCTCTCCCCACCTCTCCTGCTGCTGGGCTGTCAGAAGAACAACAAATGTTAACGGAAACTCTGCCGCACGGTTCCCTCGTCCCTTGGAAGAGGCGGAGAGGTGGGTGTTTCTCATCTGCTGGTGGACAGTCCGGAGAGATATACACAGGGTTGGCTTGTAACGGAATACATGTAACGGCGTTACGTAATCAGAATACAAAAATCAAGTGTATTCAGCTGGCGTTACATTTGAAAAACGAGTAATCTGATTACAGTTACTTTCGTAAATCTCAAGTGAATACATTTTGGAATACTTATTTGAATTATTGGTGGAAAACTTTCCTCACAAAATGTAATATTCATTACCGGCAGAACTGTGTGCACACTGCACAGCGCTGCAGCGTATCTGTGAGCGAGAGAGAGATGCAGCGTGTCTGTGAGGCCCCGCCCCCGCACGCAGATGAGAGAGATCTCTTTCAAAAGATATTGAAAGTTAGAAACGGAGATGGTTAGATAAAATGTGCAAGATAACGTTTATGTAGCAAGGCAAGGCAAGTTTATTTATATAGCACTTTTCAACACAAGGCAATTCAAAGTGCTTTAGCATTTCTTTATTGTCGAAATGATGACATTCATAACGGGATAAAATCAAAGTGAATGGCCTGCTGCTGCTGAATGCATGGGGCAAGTGACTGGAAACAGTTTACATCGTTTCAGAATAATAATAATAAATAATAATGATAATTCATTCTATTTAGGGGCGCCTTTCAAAGCACCCAAGGACACCTTACAATTCATAACATATTCTAAGGAAAGGTTTTAAGACAGTACAAAGAATGCAGTCCGGGTGATGTTTTTTATGTGTGGTGCAGATGAGTTCTTGATAAGCCATTAAAACAGTAAAATACGTGTCTCCTGTTCACCAAAACATACCCATCTGTTATGGAAAAAGAAAGTATTCCAAAAGTAATCTGCCACCGGTACCGGCGGGGATTGTTGTTCGCTTCTGATCCGCTGAAGAAAAATCTGGCCCACCCTATTTTTTACAGGCCCACCCTAAAGTACATTTCTGCCTACGCTACTGCACAGGCCTCAAAGCCAACATTAGAAATAGAGTGGGGGGGTTGGGGGCTACCACACCTTGCAGTGTGCAATGTTAAAGGAAAGCAGGGTTAACGAGTCAAAGCTACTGGCTCAAACGCCGCCGCTGATAACCCTCCACCTTCTCAGTTACAGCTCAAATACAATGGATCCTCTTTTACTCCTGTAAATCACCTGTTTGGAGCTCCATGTTTGCTGGCACATTGCATGGACATTTTGCAAAACACACAAAGTGGTGCTCTTCAATCATGACTTTTATCAACAATGCATTCATATCAAATACGGCGTCTCAGTCTTGCTGTGAACGCTTGTTTGGTGTTTGGCTGAAAGTTCAATTCAAGCTTTTTTCTTGTTGCAAAGTGCTGGAATCGGCTGCCATTTAAGTAAGATCCGCCCAAACCGTGGTCTCTTCTGAAAGGGGGAACTAAGCTAAGGACTTTTCATCCCTTTCTGGGCGCTTTTGCTCAGTGTATTGATTTTGGTTGTACTTTTTTAAAACTTGTCTGTACTTGAAATGATCATATTTCAAATCTTTCTCATGGCTTTCTCTTGCCCGTGGTTTAGGCTCCAAGCTTGAGTAAAAGAGGATACATTGTAGGCTATTTTAGCTGTGGAAGAAGGCTGCATTATCAGCGGTGTTTAAGCAGCTATAAATCCAATGGTGATATTCAATTTCCATTGTGAGATTGGAGCTAAGTCACAGCATCACAAAGGAGAGAGCCACTCACGGCACTGCTTCTCTCCGAAGCCGCCCCCTACACCCTGTTGATTGACAGTGGTCCTTTTTTTTGTTTGACTTTGAAATAGTTGTTAAAATATGAATATTTGAGCAAATGGTCTATTAGAGCAATACAACACAAATCTCATCACCTCTTGAATCATGACTTTTATCAACAATGCATTCATATCAAATACAGCGTCTCAGTCTTGCTGTGAACGCTTGTTTGGTGTTTGGCTGAAAGTTCAATTCCAGCTTTTTTCTTGTTGCAAAGTGCTGGAATCGGCTGCCATTTAACCCTTAGATGCATAAGTAGGTCTTTTTTGACCCGGTGAGGTGGTTTTCTTGAAGTATCTTTGTAATTATATTTTTTTATCATTTCATATTCCAGCTATTCTTTAAAAAACATGTTTTGGATATCATGCCATTCTAATTTTAAATTTACATTGTATACATTTTAAGAAACTGTCGTTTTTGTATTACTACTCCAAGCTTCCATAAGTGAGTCTTTTTTGACCCGGTGAGGTGGTTTTCTTGAAGTATCTTTGTAACTTGTCCATGCTTTTATCTTCAGTAGACTCGACTACAGCAATGGTGTCTTCACAGGTCTCACTAAAAAATCTATTAGGAAGCTGCAGCTGATTCAGAACGCCGCTGCTCGAGTCCTCACTAACACTAAGAAAGTGGATCACATCACTCCTGTTCTGAAGTCTTTTCACTGGCTTCCTGTGTGTCAAAGAATAGATTTCAAAATACTGCTGCTGGTTTATAAAGCACTGAATGGTTTAGGCCCAAAATACATTTCTGACCTCCTGCTAAATTATGAACCATCCAGATCTCTCAGGTCTTCAGGGACTGGTCAGCTTTCTGTCCCCAGAGTCAGAACTAAACATGGAGAAGCAGCGTTCAGTTATTATGCTCCAAATATCTGGAACAAACTCCCAGAAAACTGCAGGTCCGCTGCAACTCTTACTACTTTTAAATCCAGGCTGAAGACTTTTCTTTTTGCCGCTGCTTTTAATTGAACTATTCATATCTTAAACTGCACTGTAACTTTTTATTCATGTACTATTTTTTCTTTTAATGTTTCTTTTATTATCTTTTCTTTTTAATGACTGTTTTTAAATGCCTTTGTCTGAATGTCTTTCATTTTTGTAAAGCACCTTGAATTGCCTTGTGTTGAAAGGGGCTATATAAATAAACTTGCCTTGCCTAATTACATTTTATTATCATTTCATATTCCAGCTATTCCTCAAAAAACATGTTTTGGATATCATGCCATTTTAAATTTACATTTTAAGAAATGGTAGTTTTTGTATCACTACCCCAAGCTTCCATAAGTGGGTCAAAAATGACCCGCATGCATTTTCTATGGAATCCTATGGGAAAACGTTTTTTTTCAAAATGTAAAAGAAATGTCTAAAATTATAAATAGTTAAAAATTCAATTTAAAATATTTCTAGTGTGAACCAAAATATAATACTAAATATTATACAAGTGATTTTTCTTGACCAAAATGACAAAAATGGCATAAAAACACATTATTCTGGAAGAGTGTAGGGTCACTCGTGCATCTAAGGGTTAAGTAAGATCCGCAGATGGTCTCTTCTGAAAGGGGGAACTAAGCTAAGGACTTTTAATCAGTTTCTATGGCGGTTTTGCTCAGTGTATTGATTTTGGTTGTACTTTATTAAAAGTTGTTTGTACTTCAAATGATCATATTTCAAATCTTTCTCATCGGTTGTATGGCCGTAAACGAAATTTGTGGAGACACACAGGCTATTTATACATGATAAAACACCAGTAATGGTACTCAAAACTATTTCATATAGTTAGGATTAGTCTATGATGCTAAGTTAGTTTAGTCAAGTCAAATTATAGACCACAAATAAATACCCTTTGAATTGTATACACATTTTTATTTTTTATTGTAGTGGGAGGACTGCTGCTGAAATATGACAATACAAATCCTATTGCACCAGTTATTACCATTTAATGTAATGTTAACTTTCCTAATGTAGAGATGGGTGATGTAATTTGTGTACTTAAGTGTATAACTAAGTACTTTTACTGTACTTACAGTAAACAGAGTTCTAGGGTATCATAAGTATTTTCTGCTGTTGTATACTATATGTTAGTTTGTTTGTCTAAGTGAACACCTTGTTTCTCTTGTGCATTAAAAACACTTGTGTTAGGGCACGATTTAACAATAAATAGGTTATATATATATATATATATATACAAAATACCACGTACTGTCCGCCCCCCCCCCCCCCCCCTTCGCCACCCCATGTAAAATGTTCTAGAACCGCCACTGTTTAGCAGCCAGGTGTATATTGCACAGTATTTAACAGCATATATATATACAGGATTGGGTGAAGTGTTTTGCCCAAAATACCGAAATGCCTCATCTGCACTTTTCCCCCTAAAAATGAATTTGAATCAATACTGTTAGATGTAAATGGTTTATTGAATCATTACTATGGTTCTCTGAAACAATCAGACTTTTACCACACTGTTAGCAGACTTTTAGCAGCTCTTATCAGACTTTTAGCACTCTTTTCCCCACTGAAACGACTTTAAATCATCAGTGTCACTATTGTGGGGATGTAGGAATGTACCTGTGTCTGTTGTGGAGCCTCCCCGCACTTTAAATAAATTGATTTGCCTTTTATTTATCGTGTTTTCTGCTGTTAATGCACTGTGCTCATGTCGGGTGATGCGCTCTCTGGAGCCGTCCTGTGGGGAAACTTGGAAATGCACTTAAATCACTTTGTGCTTTTTAAGCCATTTAAAAGTTTTTCTCACTTTTAAAATACTTTCTGCCCTAGAAATGATTTTTAATCAGTATTACCATTATTTAGAGGCTGCATGAACACGAATTTGAGCATCCCTGCACACTTCTCTCCTATTTAAAACACTTTTCAGTGAGGAGCTGCAGCCTGATTCTCTCCTGTTTCTCTGCCCCTATTTAAAACACTTGCTAGAGGTGAGATCTCTATTTCAGCCCTGATTTTTGCACATGTTGTAAATTAGTTAAATTTAGCCTTGTGTTTTTATTTAAGTCGCCGTTCATTGTTTGTTATATAAAGCAGATTTAATTATATCCTATGGAGGCTGATGTGTGGATGTTGTGTCCTTTTGATAACTTTGTTGAGCTTGTTTTTAGCTGCATGTATTTTTCTATCTCACTGAACAAAGTCCCTGCGTGTGAACTGCTTCAGCTGATAAGGCTGGTTATGAATCAGAGGAGGAGCTGCAGACAGGGAGGGAAGTTGAAAGTGAAAGTATGAAGTCAGACTTGTCAGACGCCATTTTACAGCTCGTCAGGAGGAGAACAACAGGGTGAGTGTTAACACCAGGATCTGCTTTCTAACACATTTATTATTTACTCTGTCAAACTGGATGTCAGAAAATAACGTATTGCTTAACAATCTGCGTCCTAGAGTCCAATGAGACTTCTGCAAGTGTTTTCTGATTCGTCAGAGTTACATAACATGTGACAGCCCAGCGCAGACAAAATGGAGAGCGGCCTGTCTGAAGTCTGACTGATTTCATGTATTTTAACCAAGTTTATTATTAAGATGGTTGGTTGTGTGTGTGTGTGTGTGTGTGTGTGTGTGTGTGTGTGTGTGTGTGTGTGTGTGTGTGTGTGTGTGTGTGTGTGTGTGTGTGTGTGTGTGTGTGTGTGTGTGTACTGGTTTATCTCTCAGACTGGAGAAGATGAGTGATTTAAAAGATGAGGAAGAGCACACCGGTCAGATGAGTGACCGGTCTATGACACCACCTCCATACTTCAGTAATGAACCTGGACCCTCAGACACAAAGTAAGAGTCTCTCCTGTAAACTGACCTGAAGAGGATCCACTTTTGATGTAATCTAATATATTAAACTGTTCTTTAATGATATCATATGAGCAGTTTGTAAAGGGAAAACGCAGCAGAGTAAGCTAACATTATCTAAGGATATTTCAATATGCAATTATATTATCATTGTATCTGTGTATAAAATGGTTTTAAATTAGGGTGCACGATATTGGTTTTTTGAAACCGATACCGATAACTTCCTGCTTCTCAAGACCGATACTGATAACCGATAATAATATAATATATATATATATTAAATGTACCTGTAGTTTTTGCACAGCTGGTGGTAAAAAAAAGACTAGTAGTGAGCAAATGACATGAGCATTACTACTATGAACAAAACAAAGCCAAGAACAGTTTTGACTCTCGTCAAGCGCCATCATTTCTATGATGAAGTTAGAGATCGTTTTATCCCTGGGGTCGTCTCTGGCAAACTTCTTGCCTTTTTCAAAAGCCTCGTCGATAGGTGAAAGCCCCGGTGCCTTTGCAGCTGGCTTTGGATTCGCCGCTAGTTTAGCAGCGCAGGCGTCTTCGTACGCTTTTAACACACCATCGTAGCGATGGCGATGTTTCAGGTGACTAATCAGGTTGGAAGTATTATAGCTCGTTGCCTTTTTCCCTCCTCGTGGAACTTCTGCATTTGTTAATACAAATAGCAAGCGAACTATCTAACTCTGAAACTTTGAAATAGTCCCATACTACCGACGACATGTTTGTTTACTGTCCTGGTTTCACGGCCGCACACCATTTACGTCACAGCCAGGCATGAGTTAGGGAGCGCTGGATTTGTGAAAAACACCCCTCTTCCTAAACCACTAATACCACAGTACTGGCAAAACGGGAGGAGCCGAGTGAAAAACAAGCGTCCCTCATCCCAATCCACCCACACCGCAGTATTTCTTTCTTTTTTTGTACCCAAAAAATATATTGTATATTATCGGGGCTATTAATACTTTTATTGGGTTTATCGGGATGACGTCATAATTCCTAATATCGGACCGATAATTATCGTGCACCACTATTTTAAATAGCAACAATGTTGATACATTCTGATTTAAAAACTATATATATTATCCAAAACATTATTTAACTACTTGGGCATATCTATGATATGTCTTTTTAAGATGTTTATTAATAATAGTGATAACCTGGTGAGCTGGTTGTGTTGAGCATTAGCAGATAAAATAGTGTTTTGTGAAATCACATGTAGAGTCAATACAAAGACCCAGATCCGTGCCTGGCAACACGAAGGAAGTGAAGATGTTAAATTCATATCACCTGCGTATTCATGCAGCGTGACACATTTCAACTTGAGTGTAAAGTTTGTGACGCTCTTTTACAAAACCCTGTTAGTGTTGAGATTGTGCTCCTGTGGTCTCTGACGGTCTGAGGGGAATCAGAGAGGAGAACAGAGCTCTACAGCAGCTCATATTCAATCAGGGTTATTCATGTTCCTGTATAAACCAGAGACTGTCTGTGGTGCTAACAATATAGTGACTGCTGTACTTATGACTTCATGAAGTTACTCTGAGTGTTGATGGAGCAGCTAATGTTAGCCTAGCTTTAATCAAACCGGTCTCTTCAGAAAAAAAAACATTTAAACATGTTGTTATGCTCGTTGTGTTGGAGACAGAGCTGACAAAGCATTAACTCAGCTTTTTACAAATCAGTATCATTCTGTTGTTATTTAAGCATCCTTTCCACATGTTTATCTCTATTAATTCACAGCAGATTCTATGCAAGTTGGGTTTATAGTGAACCAGGTTAACACAGCTGTGTGTGTAGATTCAGGGAACATGTGCTCCTCTGGGTGATGAATCCAGACAGGAGGCTCTCTGGTTTTATGATAATATGAATTGTAAGCTATCTACCTGATCACAAGGGTATATATTATATAGACCTTTTTTTAAATATCAAACTAGAAGTTGCCCCCTTGTTGTACCTTTGGTGAGAATCAGCCCCTCTGAAGTAAAGTGCTATAAAGGATGTGTTCCTCTCCACAGAGGGAAGAGGAAGAGTGGTGTTCCTGTGGAGGAGCAGCTGTCCAGCTGTGCTCTGTGTCAGGACGTCCTGAAGGATCCAGTCTCCACCAGCTGTGGACACTGGTTCTGCAGACAGTGCATCACCTCATACTGGGAGCAGCGCACTCCATCAGGAGACCCCTCCTGTCCCCAGTGTGGAGAAAGACCCAGAACCAGAGCTGGCCTGCAGACAGCCAGTCAGAGCAGCTCTGTACGAGGTAAGAGGCCGAACTCATGCAGCGTTTATTCCTCTTCCTGGTTCATTTATTTTTTTATTAGGTATTCTGTTGAAGAGCATAGACATTAAAATGTTTATAAAACATTTAACCTGTTCTACACCGCCCCCCGGTACCGGGGGGAAAAACGCGTCATCTGCAGGAAACAGCGTCTGAGGGCATCTTAATATTTAATAAACTATGAATGTTTTATATCCATGTAACGGGAAGAAACTCAACTAACTGATCTTTTTTTTTTTTTTTAAACCCACAAAGATAACGCTCAGCCTTTGAATTAGCCACGGGTGAAAAAATGCTAATGCATTACTGCACAGAAGCTCACTCATAATACCCTTATTACTTATCGTAGCTGCACGTCCAACCCATCGACTAGCATCGTGAGAAGACACAGAATCGATCTGTACATACATCATCACTCCATGATAAGAACTCGCGAAGATATTAACAAGAACAGACATCAAAACATGTGGCGCTAGGTAGCTAAAAACGGCAAAATGGCTCACCTTGGTCGTTGTCTGGTCAAAGGTGTTCTTCAATGGCATTAAAACTATAAAACGCTGCTGAAGTTAATCCATAGGTTAATCCAATGTGTCTGTGTCCCTTTGAAATGATTTCTGATAATCCATCAGCAATAAACCTGCTTTTAAGTTTCCAGATGTCAGAGCGAGAGATAGGTTCGCTCTCATGCAAAACTGTGTGCGCATAGCTCTCATTTCTCAATGGTAAGTTCTATGTGGAAATTCCCCTTAGATTCTATTGGCTCTAACGGTCAAAAAGGGATGTCAATCACCCAAATCGACCAATGGGTTCCAGAGAAACAGTAAAAACGCCCATTTCCACCAAAATCACCTCAGAGGTGGAGTTTGTTTTGCTAAACCTCTCTAAAAAGATCAAATGTCACTTGTTTTGTATCAATCTTGATACAGGGTACTTATCATATGTTGTACTTTGGATTCCTAAAGCTTTTAGTCTACCTTACCATCATCCAAGGGTAGTTTTCACTATAAGTAAAAAAGAATTTTTGGACGGACACTATAATTTACAGTTTTTTACTATGTTCAATCTGAATTTTCTTTAAAATAAAAAACATCTATATTGATTCTGACTTTTCTACATCCAACTCACAGGTTTATCATTACTTTGAGAAAAAAGATTATTAATGTAACCCTTTTAGAAGGGAAGATATGGTCATTTTCTAGCCTGAGACCTGAAAAACAGGCTCAGGGCTTAACAGGTTAAACTCAGTCTGTTTTTATTTGTTTTATTGTTATATTCTCAAAAGCATTTTCTGATTCTCTCCTGTTCCCTTCTCTTCCAGCAGATAGTGGTCTGCAGGAGGTTTTAGATGAACACAGGCTCAGTCTGAGGAGGAGATGTGAAAGTGTGACTGAAGGAACTGATGAAAGTGAAACCCCCCTCAACAGCATCTTCACTGAGCTCTACATCACACAAGGCCTGAGTGAAGAGGTTAATACCCAACATGAGGTGAGGCAGCTGGAGACAGCTTCCAAGAAGAAGCCCCTCCATGACACTCCAATCAAGTGCCAGGACATCTTTAGAGCCTTACCTGACCAACAGACTCTCATCAGAGCGGTCCTGACCAACGGAGTCGCTGGAGTTGGAAAAACCTTCTCAGTGCAGAAGTTCACTCTGGACTGGGCCGAGGGTTTGGGGAACCAAGATGTCAGTCTGGTGATCCCGCTCTCCTTCAGGCAGCTGAACCTGATCAAAGGTGAGCAGTACAGTCTTCTCAGGCTGCTCCATGTTTTCCATCCAACCTTACAGAAGGTCACAGCAGAGCAGCTGGCTGTCTGTAAAGTGCTGCTCATCTTTGACGGCCTGGATGAATGCAGACTTTCTCTGGACTTCAGAAACAATGAGGTTGTGTCTGATGTCTCACAGCAGTCCTCAGTCAACGTGCTGCTGACAAACCTCATCAGGGGGAAGTTGCTTCCCTCGGCTCTCGTCTGGATAACTTCCAGACCTGTAGCGGCCAATCAGATCCCCCCTGAGTGTGTGGACAGGGTAACAGAAGTACGAGGCTTCACTGACGCCCAGAAGGAGGAGTACTTCAGGAGGAGATCGAGTGATGAAGACCTGTCCAGCAGAATCATCTCTCACATCAAGAGCTCCAGGAGCCTCCACATCATGTGTCTGATCCCAGTCTTCTGCTGGATCACTGCTGCAGATCTGGACCACATGTTGACTACAGACCAGAGAGGAGAGCTGCCCAAGACCCTCACTGACATGTACTCACACTTCCTGCTGTTCCAGACCAAGAGGAAGAAGCAGAAGTATGAAGAGGGACATGAGACGAGTCCACAGCAGCTGACGGAGGCTGACAGGGAGGTTCTTCTGAAGCTGGGGAGGCTGGCGTTTGAACATCTGGAGAAAGGAGACATCATGTTCTACCAAGAAGACCTGCAGCGCTGTGGTCTTGACGTCACCGAGGCCTTGGTGCACTCAGGAGTTTGTACAGAGATCTTCAAAAGAGAGAGTTTGATCTTCCAGAAAACAGTCTACTGCTTTGTTCATCTGAGCATTCAGGAGTTTCTGGCTGCAGTCTACATGTTCCACTGTTACACCAACAGAGACACAGCGGTACTGAAGGACTTCCTGGAGAGTGACTGGCCCTATGAGAACAGTAACAGCAGTGATCAGGAGTACCCATCCCTGGATTTCTTCCTAAAGGAAGCCATGGCGAAATCCCTCAGAAGTAAAAATGGCCACCTGGACCTGTTTGTCCGCTTTCTCCACGGCCTCTCTCTGGAGTCCAACCAGAGACTGTTAGGAGGCCTGCTGGGTCGCACAGACAACAGACCAGAAACCATCCGGAGAGCCATCAACAACCTGAAGGAGATGAGCAGTGATGAAATCTCTCCTGACAGGAGCATCAACATCTTCCACTGTCTGACAGAGATGAAGGACCTCTCAGTACATCAGGAGATCACAGAGTTCCTGAAGTCAGAGAACAGATCAGAGAAGGAACTCTCTGAGATCCACTGCTCTGCTCTGGCCTACATGCTGCAGATGTCAGAGGAGGTTCTGGATGAGTTAGACCTGAGTCAGTACAACACATCAGAGGAGGGACGACGGAGACTGATTCCAGCTGTGAGGAACTGCAGGAAGGCCAAGTAAGTCCATATGTGATTAACTTTATAAACTAATGTGGATCAGAAGTTTAATTATTAAAATAAACATTATAACGTTTCTGCTGTTTAAATACTGAGAGCAAAATAAACCAACACTGTTCTTCTATTTATTTATAATAATAGTTAAATTGAGGCGTTCCTCTCTTCATATTGAGTGATGGAGGCGACATGTCAAACACATGAAGGACTTCAGAGGTTTCTCAGCATGTGATCACACCACACAGCAGGACTTACAGTTATCAGTTATTATTACTTTCTAGTAGTTTCTTTATCATTAAACACACACACGTTTTTATCACAATGTTTTAGAGTTTAACATAAGATCTATATCATATCCCACCAATACCAGAGTTATGTCTTAATACTCATACAGTGAGAACATCTGATGGTATTCAGTTTAGAATATTGAAACTTTATTGGTTTGTTAACTGTGTTTGTGTGCACAATACATTTCCAGATGCTCAGAGAAGACAAAACATCCATCATTCACATCTAAATATGAATTAACATTTAAATATGTACATCTCTAATATTGTCAAGTGATTTATTTAATTTCTGTTTCCTTGGTAACAGTCAGTGACAGCAGGAGCACAGACATGTGATCAGATCACACTGACAACACATTACACTCTATTATCATATATATATATATATATAAAATGGACTAACAGCAAATCTCAATCAGAACATGTCAAATATTTTTTCATCAAATGCTTGAGGTCATTATGTTTCCTCTTTTTTTAACACATGTTGTAATATATGTGTTATTATAGACTCACTAACTGTGGACTCTCAGAGACTCACTGTGAAGTCGTGGCCTCAGCTCTGAAGTCTGACCCCTCCCATCTGAGAGATCTGGACCTGAGTGTCAGCACTCTGCAGGATTCAGGAGTGGAGCTGCTGAGTTCTGGACTAAAGAGTCCAAACTGCAGACTGGAGGCTCTCAGGTCAGTTCACTGACTGAACTTCATCTGTTTGTGTTTATCATTTTCTGAATTTGAAAAAAATTCATTACAATTATTTTTCCATTTTTGCTAAAGACTGAATATTGATCAGATAACAAAGAGAAGTTGAATGTGTGAGGGAGAGTGTTTGAGCTTCCACAGACTCACTCTGTGCTCCATGAGTCAGTGGAGATGCTGTGAGTACTGATGAGCTGTGAGGGAGATGAAGGACTTGTTAAACATCTGATCAAAGTTAAAGTTCCAGATCATCAATGGATTGTTTCTACATCATCTCTGACATTAAAGGTCTCCTATCATGCAAAAGTCACTTTCTGATGTCTTCTCTACATCACCATGTGTCCCCGGTGTCAGGAGACTCACAAAGTGTCAGGAAACAAACCCCTCTCTCTTTTCCTCCGTACCCACATCTCTAAAAACGGGGGAACAACGGAGCTGATCCAGATTTGCTGCGTCATGACGGCATTACTCAAATGTGGGCGGGCTTTACACCAACGGGCCAATCAGAAACGTTGCTGTCAGAAACAATGAGACGTGTTCTGGAAGTAATATGGTCTGTGTTTACATTAGCATTGCTAACACTCAGAGCTAACCTGTACTGGAGAGAGCATGTGTGAAGAAGCAGGAAATAAAAAGGAACTCACCTTGTGGTATACCTGAGAGAGAGAAAGAGTTTGAGCTCCATACTGTTTCAGAGATAATCCTTGATGTGGTTTGGAACATGATCCATCCATCCATCCATCCATCCATCCATCCATCTTCTCCCGCTTATCCGTTGTCGGGTCGCGGGGGTAGCAGTTCCAGCAGAGAGCCCCAAACTTTCCTTTCCCTGGCCACATCAACCAGCTCTGACTGGGGGATCCCAAGGCGCTCCCAGGCCAGCGAAGAGATATAATCCCTCCACCTGGTCCTAGGTCTACCACTTGGTCTCTTCCCAGCTGGACGTGCCTGGAACACCTCCCTAGGGAGGCGCCCAGGTGGCATCCTAACTAGGTGCCCGAACCACCTCAACTGGCTCCTTTCGACGCGAAGGAGGAGCGGTTCAACTCCGAGTCCCTCCCGGATGACCGAACTTCTAGGACTAGGAACGAAAATGGCCCGGTAGACAGAGAGCTTTGCCTTCTGGTCAGCTCCCTTTTCGTCACAACGGTGCGGCAAAGCGACTGCAGTACTGCTCCCGCTGCTCCGATTCTCCGGCCCATCTCACGCTCCATTGGTCCCTCACTCGAGAACAAGACCCCGAGATACTTGAACTCCTTCACTTGGGGTAAGGAATCATTCCCTACTTGGAGTGGACAGTCCATCGGTTTCCTGCTGAGAACCATGGCCTCAGATTTGGAGGTGCTGATCCTCATCCCAGCCGCTTCACACTCGGTTGCGAACCGATCCAGTGAGTGCTGAAGGTCGCAGACCGATGAAGCCATTAGAACTACATCATCTGCAAAAAGCAGTGGTGCAATCCTTAGTCCACCGAACTGCAGACCCCCTCCCCCACGACTACGCCTCGAAATCCGATCCATGTATATTGCAAACAGGATTGGTGACAAAGCGCAGCCCTGGCGGAGGCCAACCCTCACCGGAAATGGGTCCGACTTACTGCCGAGGACCCGGACACAGCTCTCGCTTTGGGAGTACAGAGATTGGATGGCCCTGAGTAGAGACCCCCCTCACCCATACTCCCGCAGCACCTGCCACAGTAACTCCCTGGGAACTCGGTCATACGCCTTCTCCAAGTCTACAAAACACATGTAGACCGGATAAGCGTACTCCCAGGCCCCCTCCAGGATCCTTACGAGAGTAAAAAAGCTGATCCATCGTTCCACGACCAGGACGGAATCCGCATTGTTCCTCCTCAATCTGAGGTTCGACAATCGGCCTGACCCTCCTTTCGAGTACCTGAGAGTAAACTTTCCCGGGGAGGCTGAGTAGTGTGATGCCTCTGTAATTGGCACACACCCTCTGATCCCCCTTTTTGAAAAGGGGAACCACCACCCCGGTCTGCCACTCCTTCGGTACTGTTTCCGACTTCCACGCAACGTTGATGAGACGTGTCAACCATGACAGTCCCTCAACACCCAGAGCCTTCAGCATTTCTGGGCGGATCTCATCCACCCCCGGGGCTTTGCCACTGTGGAGTTGTTTGACGACCTCAGTGACCTCCCCCCGGGAGATTGGTGTTGATCCCCCGTCATACTCCAGCTCTGCCTCTAACATAGAGGGCGGAGTTGTCGGGTTCAGGAGTTCCTCAAAGTGTTCCTTCCAACGCCCTAACACTCCATCAGTTGAGGTCAACAACATCCCATCCTTACTGTACACAGCTTGGATGGTTCCCTGCTTCCCCCTCCTGAGGTGTCGGACAGTTTTCCAGAACAACTTTGGTGCCACCCGAAAGTCCTTTTTCATGTCTTCTCCGAACTTCTCCCACACCCGCTGCTTTGCCTCGGCCACGGCTGAGGCTGCTGCCCTTCGGGCCTGTCGGTACCTTGCAACTGCCTCGGGAGTCCCCCGGGATAACAAATCCCTTCTTCAGTCGGACGGCTTCCCTGACCACCGGTGTCCACCAGGAGGTTCGAGGGTTACCAACCCTTGAGGCACCTAAGACCTTGAGACCACAGCTCCCCGCCGCGGCTTCGGCAATAGAGGCTTTGAACACCGACCACTCTGGTTCAATGTCCCCAACCTCCACAGGAATGCCCGAAAAGCTATGCCGGAGGTGTGAGTTGAAGGCCTCCTGAACTTGGGCCTCCTCCAGATGTTCCCAGTTCAACCGAACTACACGTTTGGGCTTACCAGGTCTATCCAGAGGCTTCCCCCGCCACTCGACCCAACTCACCACCAGTTGGTGAGCAGTTGACAACTCCGCCCCTCTCTTTACCCATGTTTGGAACATGATATGGAGTTTAATCACGGCAGCATTTAGCTGAGTTTCTGCTGGTAGAATTCTGATCAGGCATTAGCTCCACCTCCTTGTTTTTCTTTTCAAGCTAAGGACCCGAACCTGCTCTCCTCTAACAGCTGGAACAGAGGGATATGAGGGATTTCTAAAACGCATGATCTGTTTGGTATTTTGAGCAAACACATCATATACATGCTTTTATATATTTGTATCTGAGACCCATAATATATGCCTAAAGATAGCCTGATAGGAGACCTTTAAAACCCTGTTTGACTCTGAACAGATTATTAAACCTGGAGTTATTTCAAACAGGATCATTGTTTTCTAAAGTCACATCATGTTTTCTTTATTCAGACTGGAGCTCTGCAGGTTGTCAGAGATCAGCTGTTCTGCTCTGATCTCAGCTCTGAAGTCCAACCACTCTCATCTGAGACATCTGAACCTGGGTTACAACGATCTGCAGGATTCAGGAGTGAAGCTGCTGAGAGATCTTCTGGAGAGTCCAGACTGCAGACTGGAGACTCTCAGGTCAGTTCACTGACTCTCTGTTACTGCTGGAGATCTCATGTTTCATTAGTTATTCAACCTGATTCTTCTACGTAATTAACTTACATCCATTCAGTTACAAATGTTCTTTTATTCATACTTTAATTTGTAGGTACTAAAGTAAGAACTGCAGAGATACATGCTGACTGATTCTTAAAGGAACTGTAATAGATGTTAGTTGTTAAAAGTAAATCTATGTTTTTAATATCTAGTAAACGATAACTTCTGAATAAAGTTCATCTGAAGTAACATTAGTTTTACAGGAGGTTGACTTTCTGAAGAAGACATGTTTTTGTTCCCATTGATTTCAATGTTGAGTAACACATCTGATTATAAACTGATTTGTATCCTCATCATGTTTTCTTTATTCAGACTGAGGCACTGCAGTTTGTCAGATCAGCTGTTCTACTCTGATCTCAGCTCTGAAGTCCAACATCCATCTGAGAATTCTGGACCTGAGATACAACGATCTGCAGGATTCAGAGAAGCTGCTGAGAGATCTTCTGGAGAGTCCAGACTGCAGACTGGAGACTCTCGGGTCAGTAAGGGGTCTCTGCTGGTTCAGCAGTATTGTATGAAACACAGGGAGGTGTTTCTCTCACTGGGGAAACAGATCAGTGATGTTACCCACTGACTGCAGGCTCTTTCATTCTTCCATCAACTACAGAAGGCCAGCTGGAAATGCAAAGCCACACTTTAGTAATCAACTCTCTATCAGACATATGGGGTTTTACAGAAGAGTGGGAAAGGTAGTCTGTTCTTATGGGGTGTCCAAACTGCGGCCCGGGGGCCAAATGCGGCCCTCGGCAAATTCTGAAAGTATAATGAAATACGGCCCACACATGAAACTTCAGCTTGTCTTGTATTGTACTTCTTAAATATATATGTACACATATATTACACAGTAGTATTCATGTGTTAATAAGAGCCCACCTTTAAAATACATGCAGTCAATTAAAGCTGAAAACATTTCCTAACAAATCTAACTTGATAAGAAAAAAGCCCAATAACTTATTGTTATAACAAGCGTGAAATAAACCCTTCATATTTCCTGTAATTATAATCAATCTGAAGCTCCTGCTTTAAGGAATGAGCTGCTGACAGAATAAAGTAAACCCTCTGGAGAGCTGAGAGATGTTTGTTTCTTAAAGCATCTTCAAGTAACAAGCATCCTTTATCTTCATTTGAGTGAGTTTCCTGACTTATAACTGAACTTATGAGGCAACATTCCTCTAGAGAGCGGCCCAGACCTTTATATATCTTTCTGTATGTGGCCCTCATTGAAAAAGGTTTGGACCCCCCTGTTCTCGACCAATGACTGGTTACTTCCTGTCATGCAGCTGAGAGCTGTGGCAGGCAGTCGTAGTGTTCGCAGAGAAGATATGATGGGATGTAAAGCATGAGATCAGGACTCTGAAGCTGACTCAAAGAACAAACACTTATTTAAACTGGATCTCAAACTGTTGGATTGTGTTCGTCTCTACAGGATCAGAGGAAAGACGATCAGAGCCACAATCTAGAAGACCTGTGAGTACTGAAACCGTATCCTCCATTCATCCAGATATGAAACTCTTTAATGGAGCGTGACCTCAGAGGAAAACAACACTCTTCTTTCTCTCTTCATCATTTTAGCTGTTTCTCTTTGTTTCATCATCCTCATTATTCTCTCTCTCTCTCCTTCTCCTCTCAGGTGACAGGAAGTGAAGACACACAGAAAGGTGAGAGGTCGTACCGTGTGAAGTTTATTTATTGAGGTTTCAACACGTTCTTCTGGTGTTCCAGACAAATCTGCAAGCTCAGGTTTTATTTGTTCTCAGTTTCTTCATCACGGGGCGAGTTTGAGACGTGAAGAGGAGCGTGGAGGCATTTTGGAAAATAAAGAAGAATGCTGCAGCTGATGAGAGACTTCCTGTTAGCTCTCCTCAATATGAAATGAACAAAAACAATCAATTGTACTTACTGCTTTTCTGAAGAAGAAAGATGTGTTGCACATACTCCTGCTGCTACCTACCACCACCTCCCACCCATCCCGGCACCAAAGAGGAGACTCCATCGACCCCAGATACCCCAACTCACTCTTCTTCAGGTTAGCTTGGAGCCCCGCCTTCACCTGCCCCAACATCTCACTTTGAACGATGTAGTCATCCGGATATCTGCATACTGAGAGTGGGACGCAGGACCCGGTCAATGAGCTGCTGGAAGGGGGTCCACTGGACTGGAGGGGCGCTTGGATCTGGTGATGCCTTGCTCTTCCTGAAAGGGGAGGACACCTATCTGCCATAGTTCTTCCACCTGACGACTGAGTTCAGCATCGGGGGTTCCAGTTGGGGTGAAGAGAATCTGGGTGGAATCCGATGGCTCCTGAATAGGGGGGGCCCTTGGAGTGTCCAACCTAATGATGATGATAATAATAATAATAATAATGCATTTAATTTGTAAAGCCCCTTTACCTTTCCACAAGTGAAAGTCTGTCACAGGTGAATGTGTCTTTGAGGAGGAAAGTTTTCTTGGGATTGAAAGAGGGTGATATCTCAAAGGTCACTGAGGCTCCATTTCAGAATACTATATATGATATGTTTTATAATGATTGATCATTAAAGTGTTCTCCAAGCTGGTAAAGTTGCAGCTAGTTTGAATGACTTTGTATACTGCAGGGCAGAGGTGTGGACTCGAGTCACATAACTTGAACTCGAGTCACACTCGAGTCACACATTTTATGACTTGAGACTCGACTTGACAACATCACAAAAGACTTGCGACTCGACTTGGACTTGAACACCAATGACTCGGGACTTGACTTGGACTTGAGCCTTCTGACTTGAGGTGACTTGATACTTTAATTCAGAGGTCTCCAACACGCCGATCGCGAGCTGCCGCTAGAAGAGCAGACTCCCGTCGGGGAAAGCAGAATCTTCAGCCGCTCCTACTCTTGCTGAGAATCCTTGCAGGCAGGGGCGGGTCTTTATTTAGCTGGGCCACCATGCGGCCAATCATATGCGAGGACACACTAGGATCATACCATTATGTGAAAGAAGGGTGGGGGGCACAGCATGTGTAGTGGTACAGGCCAGCTGCACAGAGCGACGGGGAGACGGGGAGCCGGATTTAAATGCAAGCGTGTCGGAAAAAGTCAAGAAATGAGCGAAAACCGAAAAAAGAAGCAGCATCTGGCTGCTTTTCAATGATATTGGAGAAAGCAAAGCTGAGTGCAGGATTTGTAAATGAAAATAACCTTCAGAGCAGGGTTTTTTTTTTGGTAACCACTCAGGATTTATTGTCAGAGGTGGGAGAAGTTCAGACAATTAAAAAAGTTACAATCAGGGTTCCCGCGGGGGCTTAACAAGTCTTAAAAAGTCTTAAATTTGATAATCTGAATTTAAGGCCTTAAAAAGGTCTTAAATATGATTCAGAAGGTCTTAAAAATTATCGGATTTGAAAGGTACTTCTATGTTGCGATAGCGTCTAAATGTGTTTTGGGGGAAATGTCCGGGCTGCAAAGTAACCAGTACGGTAATAGCCTTTCAGTTCCCCCCAACAATTTGTATTGAATTAAATCAACATGTAACCAGTAATCACTAACTTTGTTTCCCCCGGCCCCTTATTGGAGAACACCCAGCTAGTAACCTAGCAACCAAGCTTCAGCTCATGTAGCCTATCTTCGAATCTACTTACAAATAAATATGGGGAAGTGTAAGTTCAACCGTATTTGGTTGGAAAACATCTAATTTAGTGCTTGGTTGAAACCAGTGGAGGGAACGTGTTTGAAGCCCGCTGCATCTTTTGCAAAAGAAATTAGCGTTTGTTTGGCTAATGTAGCGTTAGCTAGTGCAGCAGCAGCTAATGCAGCGTTAGGTAGTGCAGCAGCTCCCGCAACAACACCGGGGGACCTCCGGGCGAAGTTTGGGTCTACGTCAACCCTAAAAGTGGAGGTGCTGTAGACGCTAAATACCGTAGCTAAACACCAATCATACAACAGCAACGATTAAATAGTGTAGCCAAGGCAGCAGAGCTCTGAATATAGCTCTTGTCACTCTCTGACACACACACACACACTAGGGCTACTCGATTATGGCAATAATCAAGATTATGTTGGTCAATAATTAATATCACGATTATTAAATATGATTATTCATTGACTTTGAAAACATCCATTTATTGAACTTTAAAACAGATAATAATTTGAACAGTATATTTTTAACTGTTGATTACCCTGAACGTATAATTAAACTGAAAAACCAATACAAAAATTAATTAAATAAATGATACATTACTAAAAAATTCATTAGATCAAATATGTTGTAGTGCACTGCCACAACCTAGCAAAGCTAAATATTTTTTTTTTCTATTATGTTGTTTTCGTAATTGTGGCAGGCCAAAATCGTAATTGCGATTTAAAATGATTAATTGCACAGCCCTAACACACACACACTCAAGCACACACAGACACACACACTTTTTGTCTAACACGCTAACACAGTTCTGTACTGTTATGCTGTTGTGTTCAGTCATTGTTCTTATGTTGAACATGAATACATTTACTTTGTAAGTGATTATGGGACGTATTTCTTCTTTATATACATTTTCCTTCATACTTTATTGCCGTGAAATAGGTCTTAAATTCTATTCAAAGTGGTCTTAAAAAGGTGTTAAAAAGTCTTAAATTTGAGTTGGCGAAACCTGCAGGAACCCTGTACAATAAAAAGTCCTGCATTCAAAATGTTACAAGTAAAAGTAGAAAAGTATTAGCATCAAAATATACTTAAAGTACCACCTGCAGAGGGATCTAGATGCAGGTGTTCTTTTCCCCATAGAGACCGCCTCGCTGCACATTATCCCTTGCATAAAGATAGATTGTGGGTCCCTTATAACATGTTGTACACAGTGGAAATAAACATTCTGGTTACCTCAACATCAGGGATCTTATACATTAAACTCCTTCTGAATCAAACCGTCACGGTAGCCTTACCTTACTGATCCCTCTTAAATTAGAAAAATACACGTTACTTTACCAGCAGAGAGAAAATTGACTATTAAATTATTAATGTGACTAATAAAGAGCAATTTGATTATTAAGTATTATTCTGTTGATCGATGTCATTACATTTGGTGAAAAACACATAATGACTTGTTTATGACTCGTTTTGTCAAAGTTTAGGACTTGACTTGACTTGAACTTGCCCATCCTGACTTGAGACTTGACTTGGACTTGCAAAACAATGACTTGAGACTTGACTCGGACTTGAGCGCAAAGACTTGAGACTTGACTCGGACTTGCAAAACAGTGACTTGGTCCCACCTCTGCTGCAGGGTAGCTTGTGGATTTACTCCAGGTGGAACTAAAGTCTGATTTAAATGTCCCATGTCATGCTTTTCCGGTTAGTACCCGTCCCCTTGTGTTATGAAGGTTTTTCTGCATGTAAACCGTGTGCAGAGTCACAAACCCTCAAAGTACACCCTGTAGCGAGTAAAACTCTAACACAGAAAATACCTCCCCAAAACGCCTCGTTGGAGATTTCTCATTTTCCATTGTTTACTTCCTGGGTATCGCCACGTAGGGATACCCAGTAGCCACGCCCAGAGCTATGGCCGCACCCTCTGCCAGCCTTTCATGAAACAACGCTTCCCAAACCTTTCAGCGATTCATGCCGGATAGCTTGAAAAGTGCTTGAATTTGACTTTGGAAAAGGTGTGAGAACCCTGTATATGATGTATTGAAATGTATTATAAATGTTCCCTATTTCATGTAATCTGTCATTAATGGTAGTTGTAACCGGAAGTACGTCAAAGACGATGATCAAGATGAAGATGAACATCAAATATGAGGAAATAACATCGAGTGGGCAGATGAAATAAAGATAAAATACTCAAATTCTGTTGTGAACCAGAACCCAGTTTCTCTTTTACGTGTCCAGATTTTGAAAAACAACCGATCATTGCAAAAAAGGTTTTCACAGCAGGGCCTTTGTATCGCTTGTTGCCTTGGAGACAATAAATTGTTGTCATGTCCAAAAGGCCACAAGGTGTCAGTGTTGCACAACAACAAAGCACCAGTAAAATTGTACAGGCTCATACAAGCTTATAATCAGGGCTGCACATAACTGGTGCGCAGGTGCGCATGCGCACCGACGCCAAAAAAAGAGCACCGGGTCATTTGAAAAAAGGCGCATTTGCGTACCAACATTGAGAGAGAGAGAGGGAGAAGAGAGAGAAGGGAGGAGAGAGGAGAGAGAGAAATATATTTGGGAGTTGCATATGAACTCAGGACCGGCCCGTAGCGCTGGCGTTATAGATGTTCGCCTAGGGCACCAGATCTGTGGAGGCGCTGCGCTGACAGCTCTGGGAGGGAAAACAAATGTTTTGACCGTTGGGGCTCATAATGTTCGGCCTTGATGTAACAATATTCACAATTAAAGAGCTTACGAAATGAAGGACAACACTGTTCTTATTAGTAATAATAAATACTATTATTAATGGAAAATCATTTGTCATTGATGACAATATGCCCGCTGTATTTATAAAATCGTGATTTATTATAACTTTCCATGCTCGCTTCCGATGTTACACGACTGCTCCGGACCAAACGGCTTTCGCCGGTTAGTTACGTCACGCACGTCACGAGTAGAACCCTTTTTGAATAATACACTTACTATATGGCTGATGTCGGACTCTGGCTCGGATATTTCGACAGAATCGAGTGACAGTGAGTCGTCAATAGACTCGGTGCACTTTCAAGAAGAGGAGGATTTTATTGAAGAGGATGCCGGTGAGTCTAACGTGGTGGAACCATACCAGTTTGAGCCACAGTATTCAAGTAGCGGTAGAGATACTGACTTGTGGTGTATTCGTGGAGGGGGGTCCGTTTGCACATCAATTTCATTCTGAAATGTACAAAACACAGCACAACTTTACAAATACATTTTTGAAACTAGCTTGAAATTGTACTATATACTAGTCGTAAGTATAATATGCCCACGGCTGTGATTGACAACCTGGACAGCCAGTCAGAAGCTAGAATGCCAACCTAGAGAGCCAATCAGAACCTAGAACGGGCTGCAGGGCTGGCCAGACTATTATATTGTGCATAAAGTTAGATGCATTAGAATGCTAAACTTTTTCATGACGGTTTTGGGTGGACCTCTGACGCGGGCCTCGCTCTCTATCGGCCCAGCCCCTTCAGTTAATGTATTAGCCTACTTTCAAAAACATAAGATTGACAACCAATCAATAGCTCCGTAGTCTGTATTCTATCTATATGGCGCTGGTCTGTAGGCCTATGCAATACAGTGTCAATGTAACTGATTACTGTGAAGAACGTGAATACACGGAGGTTCTTCCCACGGCACCCGAAGCCCCGTTTTCATCCTTTTCCCCCGCGAAATGTCTGGGCAGCTGGTCACCGGCTGACAACGAGCCAAGTCAGAAACCCGAAACTACGGTTTCGGTGCCGAGATACCGTTAGTAAATAAGGTAACACACGTTTATACATAATATAATATCTAATAACATTCATAATACAACATGTGGTTGAATTGATTGAGAGAGCAATGCTATAAAATCAAACAATTACATATATGAATTATGTACATACATGTGATGAAGATACAAATTGTATTTGTACAGTCCGTTCTGTATACTTACTGGTGTAGACAGTTTCCTCCCCAGTGTGGATGTCCAATAGATTGTTGCTATCCTCAGTTCTGTCAGTGGCTTCATTTAACAAAGTTTCCAATACCTATGTAATAATA